TCCGTGTTTGTTCGGCGTCGAATTGCCGCGTTTGTTCTGTCGTTCGAGGGGTGCTAATCGTTGCGAGGTGTGCGTTTGGGGGGTTTCATGAAAATGAAGTAGGCATTGGCGGGGCCTCGGAAACATAACATTAACATGGCAACATGGCGGGTTTGAGAACCACTTGTAAAAGCTTATTTCCACACGTTTGTTGGTTCCCAGGATTATGCTGATGATGATGCTGATGACGATGATGATGCTGCTGCTGATGATGATGATGCTGACGCTTCTGCTGATGATGATGCTGACGATGCTGCTGACATTGATGATGATGATGATGATGATGATGATGATGATGATGGTGATCATGATGATGAGGATGCTGATGCTGATGCTGCTGACGCTGCTGATGATGCTGATGCTAATGATGATGATGACGATTCCGCGCGGGGGGGCTTGTGTGAATGTCAGACCGGTGCGGGTGATGCTGACGAGGCAGGATGATGTGGACGACTGTCTATGAAACCCGATGCTGATCGCGGAAACCGAGCGATGATGCTGCGGAGGCGGGTGATGCTGAGTACGATGGTGATGCGGACGACGGCGGCGATGATAATGGGGATGGTGTTGTTGGTGGTGTTGTTGTTGGTGATGATGGCCATGTTGATGATACTGATGATGATGACGGCGATGATGATGATGACGATGCTGATGAGTAAGATGGTGGTAACGGTGCGCGATGATGAAGGCGAAGCTGATGCTGCTGCTGATGGTGATGATGATGATGATGCTGCTGCTGATAATGACTGATGCTGATAATGATGCTGATGCTGATGCTAATGCTGATGCTGATGGTGAGGAGCATGAGGAGGAGAAAGAGGATGAGGACGTGGTTCAAGAAGGGGATGACGGTGATGTGTAGGATGAGGAGGCGGATAAGGAGGAGGAGGGGAAGGAGGAGGAGGAGGATCAGGACGAGGAGGTGGCTGAAGGGGAGGAGGAGGAGGAGGAGGAGGAGGAGGAGGATGATGATGATGATTCGGGGAGGATGGGGAGGAGGAGGAGGCAGATGATCTGAGGAGGAGGGGGAGGATGAGGGCAGTTGGAGGAACAGCAGGAGAAGAGATCAGGGGGACCAGTTGGATACGGAGAAGAGTTGAGGATGAGGAGCATGAGAAGGAGGGATTGGAGACGGGTAAGGATGAGGAGTCGGAGGATGATCACATGTAAGAGGAGGGTGGGGAGGGCAGGAAGGGATGTAGGGCCTGAAGGCATGGAGGATGACGACATGCAGGGGGAGAGCGAGGAGACACAGGACGAGGATGAGTTAGAGGAGGGTGCGTATGATGGTGGTGATGATGGTGATGATGAAGATGCTGCTGCTGTTGCTTATGATGATGACGACGATGATGGTCATGGTGCTGACACTGCGACGGCGATGATGATGCTGATGATGATGGTGAGGCTGATGCTGCTGCCAGGACGAGGAGGCTGAGGAGGAGGACGCGGTACAAGGAGAGTACGACGGTCATGAGTAGGATGATGAGGCGGATCAGGAGGATGGTGGTGATGGTGCGTCATGATAAGGGCGATGCTGATGCTGCTGCTGATGGTGATTGTGATGACGATGCTGCTGCTGCTGCTGATGATGATGATGATGCTGATGCTGATGCTGATGTTGATGTTGATGTTGATGGTGGTGCTGCTGATGACGATGATGATGCTGATGCTGAGGGTGATGATGAGGAGGAGGATGAGGAGGATGATGAGGAGGAGGAGAACGCGGTACACGGAGAGGATGACGGTGATGAGTAGGATGAGGAGGCGGATAAGGAGGAAGAGGGGAATGGGGAGGAGGAGGATGCGGACGAGGAGGTGGATGAAGAGAAGGAGGAGGGTGATTCGGGGAGGGTGGGGAGGATGAGGGGAGTTGGAGGAACAGCAGGAGAAGAGACCAGGGGAATCTATTTAATCAGGCGAGTTGAGGATGAGGAGCAGGAGACGGAGGAGAGGCAGTATGAGGATTCTCATATGCCAGAAGGGGATGGGGAGGGCTGGAAAGGAGGTAGGGCCTGAAGACATGGAGGAGGACGACATGGAGGGGGAGAGCGAGGAGGAACAGGATGAGGATGAGTTGGAGGATGATAGGTGTGATGATGGTGGTGATGGTGATGAGGAAGGTGCTGCTGCTGTTGCTTATGATGATGATGACGACGATGATGGCCATGATGATGACGACGACGATGACAATGATGATGCTGATGCTGATTATGATGGTAACCATGATCATGATGATGATTCTGGTGCTGATGATGGTGGGTTGGTAGTGGTGGTGATAAGGAGTATCAGGATGATAAGGGTGATTATGATGATGTTTGTTATCAGGATGGGTATGCTGCTGGTGACTATGATCATGCTGCTGTTGGTGATGATGATTCTTGCCATGTTGGTTCCGATGATGACGACGGTGACGATGACGATGATGCTGATGGTAATGATGATGGTGATCAGGATGCGAATGATGATGAGGATGATGCTGATGGTTTCTGCTGATGATGGCGATGCTGGCAATGCTGCTGACATTGATGATGATGCTGATGATGCTGATGATGATGCTGGTGCTGATGATAGTTGTGATGATGACGATGATGCTGATGATGATGATGCTGATGACGATGCTGCTGATGATGATGGTAAAAGTCATGATGATGATATACTCATAATGATAAACATGATGATGCTGAGTCTGATGATCATGATGTTGGTGATGATGATGACGATGATCATGATGCTACTGATGAGGTTTATGAAGATTGTGGTGATGCTGCTTATGATGATGGTGATGATGATGATGAGGATGCGTATGATAATGCTGCTGGTGATGATGATGATGATGATGATGATGCTGATGCTGATGCTGATGCTGATGCTGATGATGATGATGATGATGATGATGATGATGATGATGATGATGATGATGGTGATGGTGATGGTGAGGGTGATGGTGATGGTGATCATTCTTATGATGCTGATGATTTTCATTATCCGTAAGGGCTTCGCCGCATGCCGCCGGCCCCCTGTCTCGGACAATGGGAGATGCAACAGCTAAATCATGAGGTCTGGGCGCCGCCGTGAAGCAGTGTCGGGGCCTGTTTGTTTTTCGACCTTGACCCTACGGATCTGCGTCACGGGTGCCACCGAATTTCAAACATGTGGCAAATCCCTTGTGTTTTTGGACCCTGACCCTACGGATCTGCGTGAGGGGTGCCGCCGAATTTCAGAAATGTGTAAAATCCCATGTGTTTTTGGATCCTGACCTTCCCGATCTGGGAAGGGGTGCTTGCGAATTTCAGAAATGTGGCAAATCCCATGTGTTTTTGGACCCTGACCCCGCCGATCTGCATGAGGTGCGCCACCGGATGTCAGAAATGTAGCAAATCCCATATGTTTTTGGACCCTGACCCCGCCGATCTGCGTGAGGGGTGCCAGCGAATTTCAGAAATGTGGCAAATCCCACGTGTTTTCGGACCCTGACCCCGCCGATCTGCGTGAGGGGCGCCACCAGATGTCAGAAATGTGGCAAATCCTATGTGTTTTTGGACCCTGACCCCGCCGATCTGCATGAGGGGTGCCACTGGATGTCAGAAATGTAGCAAGTCCCATTTGTTCTTGGACCCTGACCCCGCCGATCTGAGTGAGGGGTGTAAATTTTTACCCTACCCAGCAATTCAGAGCACACGCTCAGGGCGTGCTACAAATGCCCGTTTTGGGCCTCCCCCCCCTCGCGCGGTCCATCAACAAGGTACAGTAAGCAGCAAGAAGCAGAACTGTAACAGTGGAAACTGGAAGCTGCAACTGGTACAGGAAGCTGCGAAGCTTCGGCCTACAGCCTGGTGGCCCCACAAGGGGGCCGGCGAATTATTTTCTTGATGATTATGACATTTATGCTGCTGCTCATTATGGTGATGACGCTTCTCATGAATACGATGATGACGGTGATGATTCTGATGCTGATGCTCATAACGATGATGATGCTGATTATGATGATGACGATGATGATAATTATTATGATGATGCTGATGGTGCTGATGATGGTGATGATGATGCTGATGATGATGACTCTGATGTTTCTGCTGATCATGATGATGCCGATTTTGATTATTCTGATGATTATGATGGTGATATAGGATGATGAGAATGACGCTGATGCTGATGTTGATGATGCTGATGATCATGAAAAAGGCCATGCTGATGTTTCTGATAAAGATGATGATGATGATGATGATGATGATGATGATGATGATGATGATGATGATGATGATGATGATGATGATGATGATGATGATGATGATGATGATGATGATGATGATTACGCTGATGGTGATGGTGATGATGCTAATGCTGATGATGATGATGATGATGGTGATGATGCTGTTGATGATGATACTGATGACGATGATGACGAGGATGCTGATGCTGATGATGAGGATGATGAAGATGATGACGCTGCTGCTGCTGGTAGTGATGATGATGCTGCTGATGATGATGGTGATGATGATGATGACCATATTGCTTCTGCTGCTCATGATGATGATGCTGACGATGATGGTGATTAAGATGACACTGCTGCTGCTGCTGCTCATGATTATGATAATGACGATGATGATGATAATAACAATGATGATGATGCTTATGATGAGGACGGTGATGATGAAGAATAATAATAATATGATGATGGTGATGATGATGATGATGCTGATGATGATGATGATGATGTTGTTGATGATGATGACGATGATGATGATGATGATGATGATGATGATGATGATGATGATGATGATGATGATGATGATGATGATGATGATGATGACGAGTATGGGGATGGAAGAGGAGGAAGAGGAGGAGGAGGAGGAGGAGGAGGAGGAGGAGGAAGAGGAGGAGGAGGAGGAGGAGGAGGGGCAGGAGGAGGAGGAGGGGGAGGGGGTGGGGGTTGGAGGAGGAGCATGAGAAGTTCGCCCGAGGCAGCCGAGAATGGGGAGCCCCTCCTCCTCGTCGCCCAGGAGCGCAGCCGTGAAGCTCCTATCTGCGATCTGGGCTCGACGGGACGGTGGGCCGTGACTCTCGCCCCTCCCCCTCGCCCGTTCCCTCGCCCCCGTCCCCGCTTCAGCCCTCGCCCCCCCTTCCTCCTCCGCTCTCCCGTGCAGTACAGCAGGTGCATCCGATGAGGTATAGCGACCAACAGGTGCCCCGCGGAACATCCCCTACCGCCCGAGATCCCCAGAGCCTGCCGAAGCCCTGGGGCACCCTGGGACCTTCAGGCTCCGACGAAGACTGCGCCCCATGGTTTCTCACAGCGAGCTTTTTGACCTCCCGTGCCTGCTGCACTCTGCGAGCGATCGTTGATCTGCGCAGGCCCCGCAGACGGGAGGCAGCCTCGCCTCTTCGGCGCGCCGCGCCGTCTGTTTTCTGAGCCCCCTCTGGAGCGTGATGGTCGTCCACGACGGGTGTCGGCCTCTGTGGCCGTCAGCAGGGACGGCCCGCGCGGCGCTGATGATCATCGACAGCGAGCGAGAGAGGGGCGGGGGGGAGGAGGAGGAGAAGGAGGAGGAGGAGGAGGAGGAGGAGGAGGAGGAGGAGGAGGAGGAGGAGGACCAGGAGGAGGAGGAGGAGGAGGAGGAGGGAGGAGGGAGGAGGAGGAGGAGGAGGAAGAGGAGGAGGAGGAGGAGAGGATCGCCGGCGAGCGAGGGGGGAGGGAGGAGGAGGAGGAGGAGGCCTTCTCAGACGTTTGCGGGGCTTCTCTCTCAGAAGCCCTCGCGCCTCCTGAGAGGTCTTCTGTGCCTTCGGGGAAAGCATCGGAAGCTTGTCAGAAGGCCAGGGCGACTTCCGACCTTCTGAGAAGGTCTTCTCCTTCTCACTTCCCCCCCGGGCTCGCCGCCGACATGAGACTCGGAGTTCGGTGGCCTTGAGACGGGGGTCAATTCAAAACGGGGGTTAGCCAGAGCCCCAGGCCTGGCAGGACCCTGCAGGGCCAGGGTGGCACTGACCCAGGCCAGCGTGCAGGGATCCTGCGGGATCTCGCAGGAGCTTGCAGGATCCTGCCAATGCCCGACTGGCCCGGGTCTGCGTTGACCCGGGTCAGTTTACCAGCCCGGAGCCTATCCCTATCCCTACGTTGGGCATCGCCTCGTCACGATGGCGATCTTAGGCAGTCCCTCAGTTTCCGAGGGTGCATCCCTAAGACCGTCGTCGCCTTTGGGCGTGCCAATCTCAGGGATAGGGATCAGTTTGAGGCTGGTTCTCAGTGTGCATCCCCGATTTCCGAGGGTGCATCCCTGAGATCGTCGTCGCCTTTGGGCGTGCCACTCTCAGGGCTAGGGATAAGTTTGAGGCTGGTTCTCAGTGTGTATCCTCGAATTCTGCGGGTGCATCCCTGAGATCGTCGTCGCCTTTGGGCGTGCCACTCTCAGGGCTAGGGATAAATTTGAGGTTGGTTCTCAGCGTGTATCCCCGAAGTCTGAGGGTGCATCCCTAAGATCGTCGTCGCCTCCTGGCGCGTCACTCTCAGGGCCAGGGACAAGTCTGGGGATGGGTCTCAGTGTGCATCCCCGAATTCTGGCTCGAAGCCGAACCGTGGCCCCTCCGCTTCCGAACCCGGTTCCCCCCCTGGGGCCCCGCGGGCGGGCCTCTCGGGGCTCCTGGGGCGGCGGGGCCCCTGTCCCTCGGGTCCTCGGCGGCGGCGGCAGGCCCGTGGGACCGGCTGCCCGCGCGACTGTCTGGGGGAGAGCTGCGTTTCCCCCCGATGGGGCGTATACACACCCATATATATAGATGTATGTATGTATGTATGTATGTATGTATGTATGTATGTATGTATGTATGTATGTATGTATGTATGTATGTATGTATGTATGTATGTATGTATGTATGTATGTATGTATGTATGTATATATACTTATATATGTATATATGCGCCCCCATCGGCGGGGGGGGGTGTACACACATATATATATATATATATATATATAAAAACATATATATATATATTGCAGCAATCACTGATGTCTCTTTGCGGCATGAGTCGTGGCCAGGTCCCTCCGATCCATCGCCAAATGTGCTCAAGTTTTTTCTGCTGAAAAGGTCAGCAGCACATGGTCGAGTGGGCCCTCTCCTATTCTTCGACCGCCCACTTCATATATACGCTCACCAGAGACGCCATCGCACCGACCAGGTGCGAGTGCACCTGCCCCGCTCCGCCCGCTGCGGCGGAGGTCTGCGAGCCCGTATTCGAGATCATCAAAGAGGCGGTGGGGCGCCCGCTGGTGTGCCCAGCGGCACCTGCCTGTACCTGTGCTGCAGCGCCTCCTTGTCCCGAGTGCCCGAGCAGGTCGACACCCCTTGCAGGCCCGCCGAGCGGCGGGCGGACGGTGCCTCTGGAGTTCGCCGTGAGCTTTAGCTTGCTGTGTTTGCTCCTCGGCTACGTGTTCGGGAGGTGTGGATGGCGACGCCGAGTGGTGCGGTCGTCCGCGTCTGCCGCCTTGCAGGGACCAGCGTCTCGTGAGGAGGTGGAGGCATGGCGACGATCGATCGGACTCTAGACGCAGACAAGATGCTGACTCTCGTCTGCTACGACGACGACGCTGCTGGGCTGCTCTACCACCGCCGTGTCTTGTTCACCAAGGTGGCTGATGGTCGGTGGATCAGAGGGTCCCCAGACGGAGGTGACTGTGAGGGGGACTTCAATGGGGTTGATGTGCGGCCGCTGGCTCCGAGCGAGTCCCTCCAGGTCGTCCCGGATGCGACGATGTATGTGTTTCGAGGGCCGCTACGAACAGCTGCTCGGATCGCCACCATGCACGAGCAGGCGCGCGAGGTCACTGAGGTGCTGGGAGCTGTTCCTGCACCAGGGGCGGGGGGCGTGGTTGGCCCCAGCTGGCGTGTGGCGGACTCCCCGTCGGTTGAGTTCGATCAGGTCGTCACTGCCCCGAGGCTCGCCGACTCCACCGATGATCGCGAAGATGGTGTCAGAGTTCAGGGGTTGGCTCTCATCGACGGCAACGCCCAGCTGGTCGAGTTTGTGAAGGACTCAGACCACGATGCGAGGTTGGCTCGGAAGAGGGGCCGGCTGCCTGGCGGAGCTTCGGGCGACCTGCGGCTGCTTGGCCATTTCTTGAACTCCGCGCAGAGGCAGGCGCTGCCGCTGTCGGAAGCGATGGAGCTGATGACGCCCGAGGCCTCGGCAGGTCGGCCTCATCCTGGGCCAGAGGCTATCCAGGAGTTTCTCGAGTCGGACCCTGGGATCGGCGGTGACCTTCAGGTGTGGCTCGACGCTCTCATGCATAAGTCTGGGGTCAGCGAGAACTCGTTCGTGGCACGTGCGCTTCGGGACCGTGCCCAGGTCGTGAGGCTCGAGATCGGCTGCGACCAGATCGGGTCGACCAACCTCGCCTGCATCGATCAGGCGGTGCTCGGGTTCAACGCGATCCAGGAGGTTCAACGTGATCCCAGCTCCGCAGGCCTGAGCATCGGCACTTTCGGGTCTTACGACGAGATCGGCGGGGCCCGCTTGCACGGCTACGACACCTGGCCCGGCCATGGGCAGAAGGAGGAGGCCAAGACGATGGAGGTCCAGCGGAAGTGGCGTGAGGTGCTGGCCGCCGAGCGCCGCTGTTCTGACGATCGAGATGGGCCTCCCGACCTGAAGTCCGAGGCGAAGGCAAAGGCCTCTCCTGCTGGTCAGCAGGAGGGGCGGACATCATGACCGCCTCGGCGTCGGGAGGCAAGGGTGAGACACTTCCCTGCCGAGCCCCCCGAGTATTAAGTGGGGAGTTTTTGGACAGAGGAGGTGGGCCCAAGCATGGTGATCCGTTCCCGCTGCCAGTGCCTTCCGTTGCTGGACGTGGTGATCGTGGGCCCCCTCCCCACCGTGAAGCGCCTGGGTCAACTGTTCGAAGAAGCAGACAGCTCAGGATTGCTGAAGCGGTGCGCAGCCTCAACACTTTGGCTGCCTCTACCGCCTCTTCGATTCGATCAGGAGGTGCCTGGTTTGGGACTTCGTTTCCGCCGCGCCTCTCCTTCACCCAGGCTGCTGTGATGAATCGTGTTCGAGACGTCGTTGGTAGTTATGGGCCGATGCCGGCTGGGATGACTGCTCGGGAAGCTTTCTGGGGGCTTCTCAAGGCAAATGACCTGTGCTGCGTTGGGGAGAAGAATCTCGCCCCGTATCAGCCCGATCTTCTGAAGGTCGTGAAGGGCAAGACGGTGCCGAAGCCCGCCGTTGGTTTGCTGCCGCCCGAGGAGGCGGCCTTCTTGATTGATCCAGATAGGTACCTCGTTCGGTCGCAACCCGAGATCGATGCCTGGAATGAGAAGCACCCGACTTTCAGGCCTTACTGGGAACCCCCCTTGCGACAGGATCGGTCGGCGCGGCTCGACCTCTACCGTAAGCTCTATGGCAAGGGGCTCCTGGGGTTCAGAACTCGTATCAAGGCGAAGGTGGGGATATTCTTTTTGTGGAAGTCTTCTCGTCGTGGGATCAGGCTCGTCGTGGGCGCCCGGATGCCGAACGGCCACCACCGCTTGCCGCCGAAGACTAGACTAGGGGGGGCTGGCGCCCTCTCGCAGCTCGACGGCCGGCTCGACCAGGATGAGCTCGCCAGCTTGGCGCAGGGGTGTGGCCCGATTGCCGAGGTCCCGAACCTCTCCGCCTGCGTCGGTGACGTGGAGGACGCCTTCTACCAGTTCTCGGTCGAGTCGATGGCCGAGTGGTTCGGCTTAGACGACCCCGTCCGATGCTCCGAGTTCGGCCTCTCGCAGATCTTCGACAACGACCTCGAGAGGCTTCGCCCTGCCCGACCCACGGAGAAAGTGTTTCCTGTCTTTCTTGGGATGCCGCAAGGCTGGTCCTGGGCCCTGCACTTCTGCACCACCTCAGTGAAGCACTTCACCTCCATGGCTATCGGGGGAGAGCATCGGCTGGTGCAAGAGGGGCTCCCCGCTCCTGATCTTCGATCTGGTCCCGTCTCGAGTGTCTATGTGGATAACCTTGCCACCGTCGGTCTCTCGGGCTCCGAGGTTTCGTCAGATTACGCCGCGATCAAGAGGGAGCTCGAGAGCGTGGGGTTCACGTTGCACGAGGAGGGCGGGGACGCCCTGCTGGTCGAGAATGTGGGCATCGTGATAGACAAGGGTAGGTGCAGCATTCGTCACAAGCCTGAGAGGGCATGGCGGTTGTATCTTGGGATTAAGTATCTTCTGAAGTTGCGTCGGGTGACTGGAGAGGCAGTTCGTGTTTTGCTGGGTCATTGCATCCACTACCTTGTCCTCCTGAGGCCGGCGATGTCTGTCTTTGCCCACGCCTATCGGTTTGTGAACGACAGCCTAGGGCGTACGTGTGAACTACCTGGACAGGTGAAGCGTGAGTTCCGCATGATGGCGGGGCTCGTTTTCTTGGCCGAGTCACGGCTGTCCGTTCCGCCTTCGGATCGAGCCTACTGTGGAGACGCGTCAGGGAAGGGATGCGCCGTCATGGACACCCCCATGGGCCCCGCGGAGTTCCGAAATCTTACTAGATGGAAGGAGCGTTGGCGGTTCGTGGAGGTGGAGGGGGATCGCGGGGACACCATGAGGACCTCTGGGAACCTGCCGCCCCCGAACCCTGGCTGGTCTGCTGATCTTGAGGTGTCTGACACATCATATTCACGGTGGCTTCTGGAGTCTGCTGGGATACCCACCCCGTCTTCGGGCGTTCTGGAGTCGGGTGGTTTTCGTTTTGGAGTCGGTCAACTACGTGGTAAGGAGCGTAGACAGCTAGAGCAGAAGGAGATAGTCGGCATGGTCCCGATCCTTCCCGAGGAGGTCGTCGAGCCTGGTCGTTGGCGTACCTTATTCGAGGGGAGGTGGAAGAGGGACGAGGCCATCCATATGGAGGGGAGGGTGATTCTAATGGCGCTCCGCAGAGAGTCGTATACTCGTTCAGGTCACGGACGACGACTTCTCGTGCTGTCCGATAACCTCTCCTCACTGTGCTGTCTCGAGAAAGGCCGAGCTAAAGACTTCGGCCTGCTTGCCTTGGCCCGCAGGTGTGCCGCTTACTCGGTTGGGTGTGGCATCGACCTGAGGCTCCGATACATCGAATCCGAGCGAAATCCCGCAGACGAAGGATCGAGACGTTTCGACGACGAAACACATCATGTTGCCACAACCTCTCGGGGCCCTCCGCGCTGCTCGGCCTCGTCAGCTCTCTCTCGTCGGCTTCGGGGCGACAGGCCCGATGCCCGACGCCCTCTCCGCCCGCGGGGAGCAATGCAACTCGCAGGAGATTCACTGGGTCTGAAAATGAGCACCTTTCGGCCTGCATCGTCTCGCCAGTCAGGCAGGGAGGTAAGAGCTCAGCAGTCTTTGTCTCGTCCGCCGCCTTCGCCACGTTCTTCGAGACGCTTCGCGCCAGCCTTCCTGGAGCTCTACTCTGGCTGTGGGGCTCTGACTTCTGGGATGGCCGAGGTGGGCCTCAGGGTGTCCGTGCCGTTCGATATCGCCGAGGGTCCGGAGTTCAATCTCGAGAAGCGGGGGGTCCAGGACGTCGTGATCAGGTGGCTCAACGAGGGCCGCATCTGGTACTTGCATCTTGGGACGCCGTGTACCCCGTGGAGTATTGCGAGGAAGTCTCGACCTGCAAAATCGTCGGTGCGGGTGTCTCGGGAGCACGTTCGGTTCACTGCAAGGATGATCAAGCTCTGCACGGATCTGAAGGTATACTTCTCCATCGAGAACCCCAAGACCTCGTCCCTGTTTAGGCAGCCTGAAATCCTGAAGGCCTTGGAACACGCGGACGCGTTCTTTGTCGAGTATGACTGTTGTCGATACGGATGTTCATATAAGAAGCCGACCCTGCTAGCGACTAATTGCGATTCCTTGAACAGCCTGTGTCTGAAGTGTGAATGTCAGAAGCCTCACGAGATCCCTCAGGGGAAAGTACGACTATCGGCTCAAGAGTGACATCATCGTTGGAAGTGGAAGACTTGTCTTGCAGCCTCGTACTCTCCCCAGTTGTGCCGATCGTGGGCGTGGGCTGCTCGCTGCGCCGCCCCGAGGGGAGCGGGGCGCGCTCCTGGCGAGGCCCGGCTGTCGGATGCCTGGCAAGAGGAGCTGCGTCAAGACGTTGGGACCGGTCTCCAACGGCCGCGGCTCGAGCTCGGGCACCTCCCGCGTCGCTGGACCTCGCCCTGGGCCGGGGCGACAGGCGCCTGGGGCACGGGTCCAACTTGCCGCTGCGCGAGCTCAACGTCTCGGAGCGGAAGGAGGACCAGGGTTCCTGAGGGCGCGCGCGATCCGGTCGGCAGGGGCCCGCCAGGCCTACACGGACGCTAACAACAAGTTCGTCGCCTTCGCCCGCCACAGTGGTCTGCCGTTGGATACCGCTGATCACGTCGACGAGGCGTTGGAGAGGTTCATGGAGCTGCTGTTCCTGAGCGGGGAGCCGCAGTCAGTAGCCCGCTCCGCCCTGTATGGCTTTGCGTGGTGCCATCCTGGGATGCCTCACAAAGATCGGAGGCTCTACATCAGGAGCCGTGCTGCGCTCGCTGGATGGCGGAACCTTGAGCCGGGCGGGACGCGCGATCCAGCTCCTCTCGAGATCGCGTGGTGGATCGCTGACGACTTGCTCCAGCATGGTCTGGCGCTTGCCGCCTTTTTAGTCGTCCTGTGCTTTGACTGTTATCTGCGGCCTGGCGTGGGATGCACCCTGCGCCGTTCTAACGTCATGCCACTGGCTGCTGCAGTTCACGAGGTTTATGATCGCTGGTGCCTCCGACTGTCCCCAGCCGAATCAGGCCAACCCTCGAAGACCGGCGCCTACGATGACAGCATCGTGGTCGGCGAGGTCGCTGGACGGGAATGGATCGCTCGAGCTTTGGCGATCATCTTCCCTCACGTCCAGTGTGATCATTTCATCTTCCCTTTCGGACTTCGAGAGTTCGAGAAATGTTTCAAGGATTCGGTTGTGCGGCTCGGCATCTCGCATCTCCGTCTGTCACCCCACTGCCTACGCCACGGTGGTCCTTCGACGGATGTATACACCAAGGCTTACACCCTTGAGGAAGTGCGTCGCCGAGGAAAATGGGCCGACCATCGCAGTGTGTCTAGATACGAGAAACACGCCCGCTTGCACGCCGTGTTTCAGAAGTTGCAGCCTGGCGATCAGCGCCTTGCCTCGACCGCCGCTGCCACTCTGTCCAGTCGCCTGCTTGCGGCCCTCCGTCAACCAGCCCTTTGGTCTAATGCAAGGTATATTGCAACTGTTACGTGAAGTGACTGTTTCGGTCGCGCCTGCAGCGATCGTGGCTCTGGCAAGCGCGCTCCGGGCTTGTGTTTTTTTCAGATCTAAGCGTGTGCTGGCCGCGCGCGGTCCCGAGAAAAAAGAGAGGCTCTGGAGGTCCTTCAGGCTCTCGGGTAGTCTCAGACTGTGGGTCAGTATGTAGCCTCCTTGGCCGCGCAGTTAAGTGAATGTAAAGATTGCAGCAATCACTGATGTCTCTTTGCGGCATGAGTCGTGGCCAGGTCCCTCCGATCCATCGCCAAATGTGCTCAAGTTTTTTCTGCTCCTCCTGCGTCCCCTCCACCTCCCTCCTGCTGTGTTCCACTGAACCCAGCTTGCTTTCACTTACTTGGCAACTGTTACGTGAAGTGACTGTTTCGGTCGCGCCTGCAGCGATCGTGGCTCTGGCAAACGCGCTCCGAGCTTGTGTTTTTCAGATCTAAGCGTGTGCTGGCCGCGCACGGTCCCGAGAAAAAAGAGAGGCTCTGGAGTTCCTTCAGGCTCTCGGGTAGTCTCAGACTGTGGGTGTGTATGTCGCCTCCTTGGCCACGCAGTTAAGTGAATGAATATACATATATGTATGTATGTATGTATGTATGTATGTATGTATGTATGTTTGTATGTATGTATGTATGTATGTATATATATATATATATATATATATATATATAGATCGACCGCTGCCATTCTGCTCCGAGGCAGCGCCGCCCTGTCTGCACGCGCGGCAGGCGCTGCCTGCCGCGACTGTCTGCGGTCACCGCTTCGGTTGCCAGCATACCTTTTTCCCCTTGCTTTTCGATGTATCCCGGTACAGGATGGCGCTTTTTTGAAACTCTCTCTGAGCTCTCTTGGGCCGTCTTGGGGGCCTCTTTGGGCCGTCTTCAGGCCCCGTTGGGCTATCTTGAGCCGTCTTGGGGCTCTCTTTGGAGGGTCTTGAGCTGACTTGGGCCACCTTGAGTCGTTTTGTTGTTGTCTTGGCTGTCTCTGGAAGCTGTTTTGGAGGCCATCTTGGCCGCCTGGAGGCTGACAAAAACCGCAGGAAAGCAATATCAGAAAGGGCCGTTTTCGAGGGGCGCGCGCGGGTACGTACAGGGTCCGGCTTGAATAAGGAACATTTACTTTTCAAAAGGGGCTCGGTCGTCCCTTTGGTTTGCATGCGTTCTGCTACCTTTTTGGCGGCGAGCCCCCCTGGAGTTCCTCCGGACTTCCCAGATTACTTGGACAAAAGGGACTTCGTTCCTTATTCAGCATTCCTTAGGTCAGGCCGAATACTGTAGTGGTCCCTGAAAACTTTACAGAACTTCCCGGGCAACAGACGAGCGTTCTAACGCGCCCACTCCGTGCTGGCAGGCCTGGCCCCTTGCGACTGAGTTGTGCACCCTCGCCGTCTTTGGAGAAGGTGGCCTCGCAAACTTGTTCGCTCTAGGCAATGCCAAGTTCGTGGACATAATTCGTACCCTCCCGCCGGACGCTTTCTTCTTCGCTCGTGTTTAGGTCGCGTGCCACGAGTAAGCGCCTAGCGATGATCTCTACCTTTGCCTTTTGCCGCCGCGCGCTGTTACGGCATTTTGCGCATCTTTCTGCCGCCGTGCGCCGTTACGACGAAACTGCAGATTCTGATCATCCTTTGCCCGATGGCAGTGTGTGTCCACTGTGCCCGCACCGCCTTCCTGGCAGCTCTAGTGTCCTATGTGTCCTTTTCTGCCCACCTTCCACAGGAGCTCACATGTCCACTGTGTCCGTGCTGCTCCGCGTGTCTGTCCGTGTCGCATGCTCAGTGCACGCACTCGGCGAGAAATGCCAGGTCGTACGACGACTTCCGCGACGAGGGTCAGCACGTCTCCGCACACATTGTGGTAGATCTTGTGTCGATGGGCATTCGTCTAAATATCACGCCTTGCTACGCTTCGCGCGTTACAGGGCTAATGCATATATATATATATGTATACATATGTATGTATACAAATGTTTCTGTTGATTCGGTTTCGACTTCTTTCTGACACTGGCGGATCCCGTCTCTCCGACTCCGGCTCCCACCACTCCAATTCCAGATGAAGTTCGCGAATGCCGCGGCATGACCTCTTTCCGGGCCTCGCCCCGCCCGCGCTGCCCTCGTAGGGTCGGTCCGTCGGACCGACGGGGCGCGCTCTGCTGCGCTCCCCTCCTTCCTCCCCAGCCCCTATCCTCCTTGCTTCTGCTTCCTCCCTCGCTCCTCCCGTCTGCCTTTCCTCGTCGTCGTCGTCGTCGATCTCCTCCTCTTCCTCCTCCTCCTCCTCTTCCTCCTCCTCCTCCTCTTCCTCCTCCTCCTCCTCCTCATCCATTCCTTCTCCTTATGAATGATTTCCCCCCTGTCGCACCCCGAGGCCGGTTTTTAGGTCGGGCCGGACGTTTCACCCGAGACTTCCTCACTATTTATGATTCTGAAGCTTAAGACTTGGCGACAGTTTCACAGATGGAGGGCGGGTCGTTTTCAACACGTGGCTCTGGCTTTAGCGCCGCGCACATTCGTGTTAAACAGTTGCAAGAGTTTCGCGGGTTGAGGGCGAGTGGTTTTCAACATGTGGCTCTGGCCTTGGCGCCGCCCGCATTCGTCTTCAACACTTGCAAGGGTTCCACTGAGGGCGAGTGGTTTTCAAAATGTGGCTCTCGCCTTAGCGCCGCGCACATTCATTGGAAACATTTGCAAGGGTTTCACGGATTCAGGGCGGTTCCTTTTCAAAATGTGGCTCTCGCCTCAGCGCCGCGCGCATTCGTTTATATTTTGTACAAGAGTTTCACGGATTCCCATGATCAGCGTACCAGAAGTGGTGTTTTGGAAGGATTCAGGATTTTGTGTGTGCAAGCAGTTATGTTGGTTCGCGGTGTTGAAGTCCCAGGACTGGCGTCCCGACGATATTTATGTTCGTCAAGACGCAACAGTCTGGTTGATCTGTGGCGTTGGAATCCGGAGAACAATGTTTATGCATGCTTCAGGGTCTTCAAAAGGTTGTCTTGCAACGAGGCAGTTCCCTCAATGGAAATGAACCGTTATAGGGGCCTGTGAAGAGGGAGCTTGGAGGGATGGTTCATTCCAACATCGTTGATGACTCTTGGGTTTACACTGGTCCTCCTCCTCCTCCTCCTCCTCCTTGTCCTCCTCCTGCTCCTGCTCCTGCTCCTGCTCCTGCTCCTGCTGCTGCTGCTGCTCCTCCTCCTCCTCCTCCTCCTCTTTCTCCTCCTCTCTCTCCTTCTCCTCCTCCTCCTCCTCCCCCTCCTCCTCCTCCTCCTCCTCCTCCTCCTCCTCCTCCTCCTCCTCCTCCTCCTCCTCCTCCTCCTCCCTCTCCTTCTCCTCCTCCTCCTCCTCCTTCTTCTCCTCGCTCTCTCTCCTCCTCGATGGGAGGAGGACGACGTCGCCGTCGCATTCGACGCCGTCGTCGACATCGTCGTCATTGCCGTCCCTGGGGCTCGCCCGGGATTCTGGCGGCAGCTAGCGGCGCTGGGCGGGAGAGGGCCGTGGGCCGGGCTGGGGCGGGTTGCTTCCGGGGCAGGATCACACCATGCGCGGCGTGCACGTCCCGAATGTGGACTACGTGGTGCTGGTGCGCATGCCGAAGGACCTGATGCCAGGAGGAGGAGGAGGAGGAGGAGGAGGAGGAGGAGGAGGAGGAGGAGGAGGAGGAGGAGGAGGAGGAGGAGGAGGATCGCCGGCGAGCGAGGCGGCAGGTGAGCAGGAGACGGCCTTCTCAGAAGGCGGCAGGACTTCTCAGAAGCTCTCGCGCCTTCTGAGAAGTTTTCCGTGTCTTCGGGGACGGCCTAGTATATTTCTCGGAAGGCCAGAGGGGTTCCGAGCCTTTTGAGAAGGCCCGCTCCTTCTTACTTCCCCTGGGCTCGCCGCCAGGAGGAGGAGGATGCGGAGGAGGATGATGAGGAGGATGAGGAGGATGATGATGAGGAGGAGGCGAGGGAGGGAGTGGGTTCAGGTGCCTCGGGGGCGCCTATCTTTCTTTCCACCTCTTCTCGTTCCCCGCCTCGGCCCTTTTCTCACTCCTCTCTCTTCATCGGCGCCTCCCTGGCCCCTGCTTCCTCTTTTGTCCCTCTCTGTTGGCTGTCGCTGGATGAATGTGAGGACCGTTGCGTGATCCGTGATCCGGGGGACTGGGAATGGGGAAAAGATGGAACTGAGGAGGAGTTGTGCGGTGATGGTGAAGATGACGATGGTGACGACACTGATGCTGATGCTGCTGCTGATGATGACGACAATGAGGCTGCTGATGTTGGTAATGACGTGGGTATGGACGATGGTGATGCCGCTGATGCAACTGCTGATTATTGTGATGCTTGTGTTGATGGTGACAACGATGCTGCTGCTGATGATGCTGGTGATGGTGATGATGATGATGATGATGATGATGATGATGATGATGATATTGACGATGGTAATGGTGATGGTCATGCTGATAGTGATGAGATATCAACGGTGATGTCAACGATTACGATGACGATGCCGATTTTGTTGATGATGAGGATGCTGCTGCTGATGATGCTGATGATGCTGCTGCTGATGATATGCTGCTGATGGTGATGCGTGCGCTGATGCTGCTGATGATGGTGATGCTGATGATGCTGACTCTGATTGTGATGATGATGTTGATGATGATGCTGTCGTTGATGGTAATGATGCTGATGCTGATGCTGATGATGATGCCGATGTTGTTTATGATGATGCCGATGATGCTGCTGATGATGATGCCGATGATGCTGATGATGATGATGATGATGATGATGATGATGAAGGTGATCGCGATGGTCGTAGTGATGGTGGTGGTGATTGTGATGGAGATGATGGTGATGCTGCTGCTGCTGATGTTTATGCTGCCACTGATGATGCTGCTGATGATGGTGATGATGCTGGTGATGATGATGCTGACGATGTGATGATGGTGATGATGATGATGCTGATGATGAGGATGCTGCTGATGATGATGATGATGTTGATGATGATGTTGATGATGGTGATGACGATGATGATGATGATGATGATGATGATGATGATGATGATGATGATGATGATGATGATGAAGAGGAGGAGGAGGAGGAGGATGACGATGACTTGGACCAGGACGGGGAGGGGAGCAGCAGGCGTAGCAGGAGGGGGGCCGCGGCCACAGGCACGGTGGTGCCGGCATCCTGGCCGATCAGCAACGGACGCTCCCAAGCTGCCCGAGAACATGCGAGCGACGACACGAAGCGGGTCTTGCGCGAGGTGGCCTGCCATCTCACGCGGTTGCTCACGCGGGCCGCGAGCGCGGCACGCTACCGTTGGAGGCGAGGGCGCTTGCGCGCGACCTCAGGCGGCCGGCCTGTTCGCTAGTGTTGGCGCAGACGAGACCGTTTTACTGCGTCGATCATATCGCCACGGCGCAGATCGTCGCGCCGCGGCGCCATCGCCAGACGTGGCGTGGCACCAAAGCAGATACGCGGACAACCCCGGCATTGACCGAGCAAGCCTGCGCGGACAATGTCCATGGCGCGCGGGAACATGCCCCGTGCGCTCGACACAAGCGTCCACGCTGGTCCTGGACGAGAAGGGGAACACGCGATACGAGATGAACAGCCACGAAGAAAGAGGCAGGCCGTGGGAGAAGTGCCTGGAGCAGGACGCAGCAGGACACACAGGTGGAGCTCCAGCAGGCAGGGGCCGCGCCGACGGCCACCGTCGACGGCAGCGCCTCCCCCGAGGTGTCGGCCCCTGTCTCGGGCGGTCTCCGTGCGCCCCCCGTGTGATCCCTGGCTGCCTCCGCAGCTTTGTTCAGGTCGTCTCCTCTCCTCCTCCTCCTCCTCCCTCCTCCTTCCTCCTCCTCCTCCTCCTCCTCCTCCTCCTCCTCCTCCTACCTCCTCCTCTTTCTCCTCCTGCCTCCTCCCTCATGCGCACTCGGCGCAGGCAGCGCGGGAGCGCACGGCGCCTGTCGTCCTGCGCGGGCTCCGCGGCCTCGCGGGAGCGGGGCGCGCCCCGAGCCCTCCGATGGGCGCGCGCGGCGCGCCCGGAGCCTGCGCGCCGCCCCCCCTTCGCCACAGCCCCTCCGGGGAAAGCAGTGGCTGCGGGGAGGGTCACGAGGCCAGACCAGAGGGAGCTGGGCCGAGACGGTGCCCATGAACTTCATCGCGGCCATGCAGACCACTCGCGTGCCTCCTGGAGGTGTGCCTTTTCCCCCCGCGTGTGGCTTGAGGCGTGCCTCCCGCTGCTGATTGACCCTGGCCTCTGGCCTCTGACGACGTCATCGTCATGACTTCACGCGCGGTGCTGGGCGCTTGAGCGCTGGCGGAGTGGGCGAGGGAGGCTGAGGTGCTGCCAGAGGAACGCAAGCGGAGGCGTCTCGTGGGCCTCCCTGAGCTCTCTTAGGGGCGGGGAGCGTGCGGCGGCGGTTGGCCACCTGTGTGGGGCGTCATCGTTTGCTGCCAATTAGTGCCCAGCTGGACTGGCAAATGAGCTCGCCTGAGCAAAACATGAGTGGGACGTCAGGGCTTGGCGGCTCCTGTCGCTGGGTGGGTGCTATGTGCTGTGGTGCCTTCACGCTGATGTTTTGGAAGTCTACCGACTTCCGCGCCCCCTGCTCTGGCTCCCCAGTGGCCCTCAGCGGGCCCCCCCTTCTTTTTCATTGGCCTTTGGGCCCCCAGAATGCCAATGCCAGCACGGTAGACCAAAAGGAGCACGGCGGTCCAGCACGGCAGGCCACAGGAACACGGCAGACCGGCACAGCAGGCCACGGCAGCACGGCAGGCCAGCACGGCAGACCAGCATGCCAGAGCAGCGCGGCATATTTCCAAATCGCGGCAGACCTGAGGAGCACGACAGACCACGGGAGCATGGCGGACCACAGGAGAACGGCAGATCAACACAATGGACCGACAGCAGTTCTGTTGGTCGTTTGTGCGTCGTTTGCAAGTTTTGTCGGGGCTCTCAACAGGATGATCTGTGAGAGATTTCATGGACAAAGCGAAGGTTTCCGTTCTTGTCCGGTCAGGTTCCACCACGCTTCAGTGTGCCCGAAGGCACGCTGGCGGATTTCTGATGGCCTTGACATTGAAACTCAGGAAAAGCATTCTCTGGGTTTCTTAATAAGCGTGGGGGGGTCCCCCCCTGACGGGGGTCAACCTCGCCTCGTCGTCGCGCCGCGACGGGGGTCGGAGCGCCTCCGGCGCGCGGTGGCTGCCCGCGACGGGGGTTGATGTGGGGCCGTCGGCGGAGGTGACGCCCCCCCGACGCTTATTAAGAAACTCGCATTTGGGATTGGAGCCCAGACATGCGACGCCTTGATTTTTTCAGGACGGCATCCCCGGAAGTCCCGACCCTCTCCCCGGGACCGTTTTCTCGTCCTGAGTCGTTCTCGGACGGTCCCGAGGCCCGGCGAGGGCCCCCCGAGGCCGAAAATATAGCCAACAACCTCCCGCCCTGATTCTTGTGCGGCGCGATCCTGTCTGGGAACCGTCCACCCGCTCGATGTCCAGGGCCCCCTCGCCCCGCGGGTAGAACATCGACTCGGCCCTGCCGAGGGGTGCCGCTCCGGCCACGACTCCGCGGGCACGCCGGCCGTGGGCCGCGAGGGCGCCCCGGGAGGCCCCGACGCGCACGAAGACGTGGATCCTCGAGCCTCGATCCTCGCTTTGAGTCGGGCCAGTCCCTCTACAGCAGGAGCATTCCCCAAATAGTAGAGAAATAGTCTGGGGGCGATTTTTGGGGCTATTTTTGAATATTTTTGGGGGGTCTTTTCCCGCCTGTAGGAGGACATGCCCGACCTATTTTTGGCTATTTTTGAATATTTTTGGCTATCTCGTTCAACAAATCCGCCTCTAAGAGGACATGCCCGACCGAAGCCTGGATCCTCGAGCCTCGATCCTGGCTGCTGTAGTCGCGATTCCGCAGGAAGGCAACTCTCACATCATGGCACCTCGGGGGCTGAGCCCACAGGGGAGGTTTCTCTCGGTGCCCGGGCGGAGGGCGACGACCCTCCCCTGGGCACGGGCGACAGGCCACCGCCTCCACAAAGGCGACGGGATTGGAGGAGAGAGCAGGAAGTAGTGAGGAGGAGGAGGAGGAGGAGGAGGAGGAGGAGGAGGAGGAGGAGGAGGAGGAGGAGGAGGAGGAGGGAGGAGGAGGAGGGAGGAGGAGGAGGAGGAGGAGGAGGAGGAGAGCCTCGTTCCCTCGACCCTCGGTCCTGCCGCCCCCCAGGACGTAAACTCCTACCTGCACCTCTCTGGCAGGACTCTCTAGGCCTCCCAAGCGGGGATCCGAGCAGGTAGGGCCAGAGGATCGCGCCGCATCGCCGAGGCATCGCCGATGCGGCTCGATGTGGAACTTGATTTCCTCTGCGCCAGCGTCGCCGATGCATCGCCGGCGTCGCCAATGCAGCGGCGACGCATTGGCGATTCATTGGCGATGCGGCGCGACCCTCCGGCTCCATGCTCCGAGGCGGAGATCTATCCATAACCACCGCCTGGGGGATCGATTCTCGTGGACCTCCGCAGGCGTCCGCCGCCCGCTGGGGCACCAGGGCGCCGGCTCCCAGGCGGCGGACGCGGATCCACTCCCCGCCTCGCACCTCCCCCCTGGACGCCCTATGGGAGGCCTCCGGCAGGACGGGCCGCGCAGGCCGCGGGGGGACGGTGGTCACCATCGCCGACGACCTCGGCGACAGAGAGCGCGCGCGCCTCGGGTGGCCCTCGCGCCTCGGGCGGGGCCCTGAAGGCGAGATCCTGGGCCCTCGAGGGGCAGGGCCCTCGCAGCGGGGCCCTCGTCGGCGTCGAGCCGGACCGGTGCGGATCGGACCGGAATCGAGCGGCACACCTCCAGGGGCAAGGGTCGGGGGGGATAGGCACAGGGCTAAGTCGGGCGCGTGCCTCTACAGGAGGAATGCTCAAAAATAGTCAAAAATAGTGAGGGCACGATTTTTTGATAGTTTTCAGACTATTTAGGGGTATCTTTTGAGCATGTTTCATTTTTCGTCCAAAATCTGCCTGTAGGAAGACATGCCCGACCTAAGCATAGGGGGGGATGCATCCACCCCCAGTCGCCCATGGATCGCCGAGAGGGGCCCGATGGCCTCAACCTCCCCAGGAGCGTGCGGGTTCACGAGCGGGGGCCTATCGCCGATCTATCGGCGATACATCGCCGATTCCAGGTCGATGTGTCTCCACCTATGCTAGTCCCCCCCCTATCGTTGCCGTCAATATCGCGAAGGCCTTGCGGCTGGTGCCGCGACCAGGAAGGGGGACGACGACGACGACGACGACGACGACGACGACGACGACGGCGACGACAACGGCGACGACAAACATGTTCAAGCGAAGGGAAAATCATCGACTTTGCCTCTCGGGGTTCCCTGAAGCTCTCTCGGGCCCCTGGACGGGCCTCTCGGAGGCTTCTCGGGCGTCTCTCTGGAGGCATACTCCACCTCTCCTGGGGCGTCTTGGCTCAGGGGCCCCGAACGGCAGCGGAGGCAACACTGCACAAAGGGTGGTATGGAGAGTGAAAGACGGGGTGGGGCAACCGGACGGGGTGGCAGATGAAGCCCCCAAATGGTCGGACGTGCACTGTTGACAGGCGGGGCTCTCGGCATCTTGTTGCCGACGCCGGGCGGTCGGAGGGTGTGGAGGAGGTGGGGGGGGGTGAGCAGGGCAAGGGCGAGGAGGTGGCGGAGGCGGGAGGGGGACTTCGGCCCCAGGTGGCGTGTTCTTCAAAGAAGAGTGCCTGTTTCACTATGTCATGGACTATGTTCTTATTGTCTTGGCATTTCAGTTCACGTATTTCCCTACCTAGGCTCTGCCTAGAAGGGTTCTTACTCTCTTAGCTAAAGGGGCCGGGCAATGGAAACCGCTCCGGGCGGTTCCCCCAGTCCCCGCCCCGCGGTTCCCCCAGCCCCCTGGGAGCTTTAGCCTTAGCTTTAGCTTTAGCTTAGCTTTAGCTTTAGCTTTAGCTTTAGCTTAGCTTTAGCTTAGTGTTAGCTTAGCTTTAGCTTAGTGTTAGCTTAGCTTTAGCTTAGCTTTAGCTTAGCTTCAGCTTAGCTTCAGCTTAGCTTTAGCTTAGCTAGCTTAGCTTAGCTTTAGCTTAGCTTTAGCTTAGCTTGCTTTAGCTTAGCTTAGCTTAGCTTTAGCTTAGCTTAGCTTTAGCTTAGCTTTAGCTTAGCTTTAGCTTAGCTTTAGCTTAGCTTTAGCTTAGCTTTAGCTTAGCTTTAGCTTAGCTTTTTAGCTTTAGCTTTAGCTTAGCTTTAGCTTAGCTTTAGCTTAGCTTTAGCTTAGCTTTAGCTTAGCTTTAGCTTAGCTTAGCTTATAGCTTAGCTTTTAGCTTTAGCTTAGCTTTAGCTTAGCTTTAGCTTAGCTTTAGCTTAGCTTTAGCTTAGCTTTAGCTTAGCTTTAGCTTAGCTTTAGCTTAGCTTTAGCTTAGCTTTAGCTTAGCTTAGCTTTAGCTTAGCTTTAGCTTAGCTTTAGCTTAGCTTTAGCTTAGCTTTAGCTTAGCTTTAGCTTAGCTTAGCTTAGCTTTAGCTTAGCTTAGCTTTAGCTTAGCTTTAGCTTAGCTTCAGCTTAGCTTTAGCTTAGCTTTAGCTTAGTGTTAGCTTAGCCTTAGCTTAGCTTTAGCTTAGCTTTAGCTTAGCTTCAGCTTAGCTTCAGCTTAGCTTTAACTTAGCTTTAGCTTAGCTTTAGCTTAGCTATTTTAGCTTTACTGTTACTACTAATGCTGCTTTCCTAGGGGCTCCAACTCCTAGGTAGGGTCGCACTGGGATAATTGGTCAACGTCATCGTTGCCGTCTACGTCGACGTCGTCGTCCGAAAATGGCTGCTGGGTGTTTCCTCTGGAGCTCTCGTCGGCACGGCGGGGCGCAGTTCGAAACTCTCGCGAGGATGGATCCCAGCCAGGGTCCAGCGACTGATTCTGGCACGATGTTGGACATGGGCGGAGCCGGGCGGAGGAGGGGGGGGAATAGAGGACCAAGGCTCCTAGACGATTTTGAACCTTTTCGGGCTTCGGGGGTCCTCCCAAGACCTTCCCAGCCATCTGGCGTCGTGCTTTTCTCAGCGTGGCCCCCGACAGGTCTGGACCTCTTCCCCGGGACTGGTTCTTCATCACGAGTCGTTCGTCGCCATGGCTGGGAACAGCCCTGGAACCTGGCTAGGACGGATCCGATGCGGGGTCCGGAGACCGTGTTCGATCGGATTTTCTTCGGCGGCGGCGGCGGCTACCGCTGCGAAGCCGACGACTGCAGCCTCCAGGCGACCATCATCGTCGTCTTCGGAGGGGGAGGAGGAGGCGGGAGAGGGAGGAGGCGGGAGAAGGAGGAGAAGGAGCAGAGCCAGTAGGATTCGCAGCGGGGGTGCCACAGTGAGCAGGAATTGGAGCACGAGCTTGCACTGGTGGGGTTTAGGATGATGATGGCGATGAACGTGATGAAGTGAAGAGCAAGAATCTGATTTTCAGGAGGATAACCTTCGAGCTGAGAAGGAGCGGGAGGCTCATTGCAAGGGGCGGATGCGGGGGATGAGGATGAGGAGCTACGACGAGGAGGAAACGTGAACAGTATGAGGAGAAGGACGAGGAGGTAGCAGGCAAGATGTACAGGAGGATTCTACGGTGATGGCGACGAGACTGATGATGCGAAGGAGGATTAATTCGATGATGACAAGGTGTATGATAGCGATTAACGGGGAATGGCGCGAGGATTCTGTGGGATGAGCAACATGGTGATTTATGACTGAAGGGACTAAGGAGGTGGAACACAACTTAGAGTATGCAGTATGCTGCTCCCTGTGATAACGGTGACGCTTACCACGACTGTGATGATGTTATTGTATGCCAGCGGAGATATTGACGGTGGTGGTGATGCTGACTGCCATTCTGATTCCGATGACGTTGAAGATGGTTGATACGGTGACGATAGCGACAATGACTACGTTGATGGCGATGCCGATAGTCATGATGAAGATGAGGCTAATGATGCTGATGCTGACGCTGATACTGATGCTGATGCTGATGATCATAAGTAAGATGATGACGACACTGATGATGGTGACGCTGATGATGTTGACAATGATGATGCTGACGATGACGATGATGCTGCTGATGATGATCATGCTGCTGATGACGCCGACGAGTGTTGTGATGCTGGCGGCGGTGATTATGATGACGATGACAATAAGGTGTCTGACTATGCTGGTGATGGTTGTGATCATGGTGTTGATGGTGATGATGCTGATGATGATGCTGCTGATGATGATGCTGCTGATGATGATGATGAGGATGACGCCGGCAACGACGATGAGTATGTTGCTGCTGATAACGATGATTGGCAGCAGTTTCAGGTTGTTTTGCGTTTCGCTGTCTAACACTGTCGTGTCGGTGGTCCATTGGCCGCCAATTCGCACCAGACTGCTCGCGCTTCAGCTTATTTCGAGTTGAGCCGCCTCCGCGTTTTTTGCCCGCTGCACGTTACGTTTAGATTTACAGCTCCTCCTTCACACCACGCCACCCAATCTTCGCTGAATTGACAGTGTGTACTGTTTGTACACAGTGCCTTCGACAGTGGCCAATCGCAATTCGCACTTCCATCTGCTTCTCGCGCCTGAGGATCCTCTGCGCCGCCGGCTTAAATGTGTGTGTGTGTGTTTTCAGTTCGCAGCGTAATAAACGAGTTTGAGCGTATCCATCATCGTGATTGCCTGCTGATTGGGTGCGTTGTCGCGTCATGCGGTGACTTGTGCGTGATGGACCAAGGGAAATTAAAGTGGGGGAAGGGGTCGGAAGGTGCCTGGGGAGGGGGAGTGGTGGAGGCGATGACGACGAGGAAAACGAGGATGACGGGGAGGAACGCGAAAAGGGCGGAGAGGAGGAACAGGAGGAGGAGGAGGAGGAGGAGGAGGCGGACGAGGAAGGAGAGGAGGAGGAGGAGGAGGAGGAGGAGGAGGAGGAGGAGGAAGAGGTGGTAGAGGAGGAGGAGGATGAAACAGAGGATGAGGATGAGGATGCAGATGAGGTGGAGGAGGAGGAGGAGGAGGAGTTGGATGAGGAGGAGGAGGGACGAGGAGGAGGAGGAGGAGGCGGAGCAGGAGGAGGCGGAGGATGAGATAAGACGACGTATCGCACACCAATCATATTAATACCGCTAAGACGAAGACGAATACGAATGCGAATGGGAACCGTACTACGGATACTAGCACCACAATTCATAGTAATAATGGGAATCATAAGAATACTGATGAGACAACGAAGACGACTAACACCATCCAATGCATACTACTATGACGACGAAGACTGATAGGACGAATCACGTTAAGACGCATGGTAACAATATAATACGACTAATGAGAGCCAGCATAAACCTAGGACTATTATTACTACTCTAAGAGAGTTAATGATACCCGCACTCGTAGTAATAACTCATATTAACATTTAACAGACTACCATCGGGAGTACCCGTATCAATGATGAGACTATTACTGTTGTTCCGAATGCCTGTAATACAAATATTGCTCGTAGTGTTATGGTTAACAACGCTGATGGTGCTGATGCCACTAGTTGCATTACTAGAACTGGTAATAATAGTAATCTTAATGATACTGGTGATGATGCTGGTCAAACTTATACTAGCAATACTAATACTCCATCTAGTGCCCGTAATACGTATACGAATAATGCGGGTGCTACTACTAATA